ATTCCTAAACGATGTCGGCCTTGAGTATCTGACACTGTCCCGTTCTTCCGGGACGCTTTCAGGAGGAGAAAGCCAGCGCATCCGCCTTGCGTCGCAGATTGGGTCCGGTCTGACGGGTGTCCTTTATGTCCTCGATGAACCTTCCATCGGCCTGCATCAGCGTGACAATGCCCGGCTTCTGGAAACACTTAAACATCTACGGGACCTCGGTAATACGGTCATCGTGGTCGAACATGACGAAGATGCTGTTCTGACTGCAGACTATGTCGTCGATGTCGGTCCGGGTGCCGGCGTGCACGGCGGTGAAGTGGTTGCGAAGGGCAGTCCTGCGGAAATCATGGCCAACACAAGGTCGTTGACCGGGGAATACCTTTCCGGAGCGAGAATGATTTCGCGCCCGGACGGCAGACGCAAGATCAACAAGAAACGGAAACTCTCTGTCCGCGGCGCACGAGGCAACAACCTCAAGGATATCGATGTCGATGTGCCTCTCGGCACATTCACCTGCGTCACCGGTGTCTCAGGTGGTGGCAAGTCGACATTCCTGATCGACACGCTCTACAAGGCTGCCGCCCGCCGTCTGAATGGCGCCAGAGACAATCCTGCCCCGCATGATCGTATTGAGGGGTTGGAAGTCCTGGATAAGGTAATCGATATCGATCAGTCGCCCATCGGGCGCACACCGCGCTCCAATCCGGCAACCTATACCGGTGCCTTTACACCGATCAGAGAGTGGTTTGCCGGCATGCCGGAGGCCAAGGCTCGAGGCTATCAGCCTGGGCGTTTTTCCATCAACGTCAAGGGTGGACGTTGCGAAGCCTGCCAGGGTGACGGTGTCATCAAGATCGAAATGCACTTCCTGCCGGACGTTTATGTGACCTGCGACGTGTGCAAGGGCAAACGCTATAACCGGGAGACCCTGGAAGTCGAATTCAAGGGAAAATCCATTGCGGGCGTTCTCGACATGACCGTTGAGGAAGCCGCAGAATTCTTCGCAGCGGTTCCTGCTGTTCGTGACAAGATGAAAACGCTCGCGCGTGTCGGGCTCGGCTATATCAAGGTCGGTCAGCAGGCGACGACACTCTCCGGTGGCGAAGCTCAGCGTGTGAAGCTTGCCAAGGAACTGTCCAAACGGTCGACCGGGCGCACGCTATACATACTCGACGAACCGACGACGGGTCTTCATTTTCATGATGTCGCCAAACTTCTCGACGTTCTTCACGAACTTGTCGATCAGGGGAATTCGGTGCTGGTCATCGAGCACAATCTCGAAGTCATCAAGACCGCAGACTGGATAATCGATCTTGGTCCGGAAGGCGGTGATGGTGGCGGTGCCGTGGTCGCGACGGGTCGTCCGGAGGACGTGGCAGAGGTTCAGGCAAGTTACACAGGACAGTTCTTGAGCGAACTTTTGCAGCGCAGGCCGCAAAGAGCATCCGATGCTGCGGAATAGCCCAATGGGTTCCGCCTCTTGAATTTCTGTGCAACGCACCTAAATCTATAAAAGCATGCGACGTAAGCGATTTCCGGAATATGCCCTAACCATATCCCATGAAAATGCTGCATTGCATCAATTGCATGTCTGACATGCAAAGATGGCACTTCTTTTAATTCACTTGGTGAATTATATGTTTGATCAACAGAGACAAAGGCGCGGCATCGCCGTGTTGATCAAGGAATAACAAGATGTTTGACAATGTGCGTAGTAAGTACAGCAGCTGGGTAAGCTATCGTCGTGCGATCGACGAATTGTCCCGCCTGTCAGCACGTGAACTGCAGGATCTCGGCATTTCCCGGAGCGACATCAAGTTTGTCGCCCGCCGCGGATTGAGCAGCTAAAGAATACCAGATCGCGTCCAAGGGCATCCTCCTCCCAGCCTAAGGACGTGTGACACGCAGGGCATCCTCCTCCCAGCCCTGCCAGTCGAAACGACGCCCGCCAGTACCTCCTCCCACTGGCGGGCGTTCGTTTGTTCAGACACACGTTTCAAAGACATTCCCGAATAAAACAAGCACCCACGGCATAGTCTTCGCATATGCGATACGGCGTCAGATCCTTGGCTATGTGTCAAACAATTCCTCTACCGTTAACTTCCTGTTGTCTTGCACTTTTTGCATATCAGAGTCGCAAAAAAATCACTTCTTCGCAGTGCACAATTTCCCTATATAGCGAGTGTAAGAGATGAACGGGCCAGACGCCGATCCGCGGTGCCATGGCCATGAGATAGCGAAAGGCCTAAACCATGATCGATAACGTTGTACGCAAATTCAACAACTGGAAACGCTTCCGTCAGACCTATGGCGAACTTTCCAACCTGACCAACCGCGAACTGGACGACCTGGGCATTGCCCGCTCCGATATCGCCCGTTACGCACGTCAGTCTGTAAAATAATCAAGTTTGCGGTTCAGGGGCATCCTCCTCCCAGCTCCTGAACTGCAATCCCTCTGCGAACCTATCGCAGAGCAACCAAAAACGCTTGCCGGATCCTCCTCCCCCGGCAGGCGTTTTTTTTTGATTCAAGAGACAATCCGGCAGCCAATTGTCCACCACATGTCTTGTCATAAAAACTGGCGGTGTTTTCGTCTTTGAACACATGAAGACGCGAATGCTGGATCTGTGCCGCAAGATGTTGCGGCAAACATCCAATCCCTGTAATCAGGGCACAAACTTATTGTCTGGATGGTCTCACAGTTTGTCGCTGTTTGAGATGTCCGGCATCTGCCCCAAGGAATTATCATGACTGCGATCCACGTTATTGGCGGTGGCCTTGCCGGATCCGAGGCTGCCTGGCAGATCGCCGAGGCAGGGCTGGAGGTCGTACTGCATGAGATGCGACCGGTACGAAAGACCGACGCCCACCAGACAGAAGGTCTTGCCGAACTGGTCTGTTCCAACTCGTTCCGGTCAGACGATTCACAACAGAATGCGGTTGGACTGATTCATCATGAATTGCGCCAGCTCGGATCACTGATCATGGCTTCGGCCGATGCCCATCAGGTTCCTGCAGGCAGTGCACTCGCAGTCGATCGAGACGGATTTTCAAATGCGGTTACCGAGGCGTTGAATACGCATCCACGCATTCGGATCGAACGAGAGGAAATTGCCGGACTTCCGCCGGAAGACTGGGAAAAGGTAATCATTGCAACGGGTCCTCTGACTTCCCCGGCACTTTCTCAAGCCGTTCTGGAAAAATCGGGAGAGGACGCCCTCGCCTTCTTCGATGCCATTGCCCCGATTGTCCATTTCGACTCGGTCGATCTGAACAAGGCATGGTTCCAGTCCCGGTACGACAAGGTTGGTCCCGGAGGAACGGGCAAGGATTATCTCAATTGTCCGATGGACAAGGATCAATACGAAGCCTTCATAGACGCCTTGCTGGCGGGAGACTCTGCAGATTTCAAGGAATGGGAAGCCAACACGCCCTATTTCGATGGCTGCCTTCCAATTGAGGTCATGGCCTCCAGGGGACGGGAGACCCTACGACATGGCCCGATGAAACCGATGGGGCTGACAAACGCACACGATCCGGATGTCAAGGCATATGCGGTCGTTCAACTACGCCAGGACAACGCGCTCGGCACACTTTACAACATGGTCGGTTTTCAGACCAAACTGAAATATGGCGCGCAAGCGGACATCTTCCGCATGATTCCCGGGCTCGAAAGTGCCCAGTTTGCGCGGTTGGGCGGACTTCATCGCAATACGTTCCTGAACTCGCCAAAGTGCTCGACAACACGTTGCGCCTGAAATCGGATCCGCGCTTGCGGTTCGCCGGTCAAATCACCGGCTGCGAAGGGTATGTGGAATCTGCCAGTGTCGGCTGTCTGGCCGGACTTTTCGCGGTCATGGACGTTCGCGACCAGGCCATCGTTGCGCCACCGGAGACGACGGCCATGGGGGCCCTGCTTGGCCATATCACCGGCGGACACATCCTGCGCGAGGACGGTGCCGGAAAACCAAAATCCTTCCAGCCAATGAACGTCAATTTCGGGTTATTCCCCCCTATCGAGGCACCGACACGGGATGAAGAAGGCAAACGGTTCAAAGGCAAGGAAAAGGCAAAGGCCAAGAAGCTAGCGATGACCAATCGCGCGAAAGCGGATTTTGCTGACTGGATGTCCGGACTTGGGCTCAAGAAGTTGGCAGCTGAATAACGTAAATTCAGACAAGCCAGATATTTGTCTGCCTCAAAGACGCAGCAGGGGTTTCGTGGAGGCACGCCACAATATCCACTGTCGCCTGAGCTGAGATATCTCGGCAATTTCCTGCAAGGGGTCGAAATCCGGAGCTTCAAGTTTTTTCAGGAATGGTTCCACCAGCACCAGTGGCAGGAAGGCGTTGCTGCACTCTTCGGGAATAGTGTCGGCAACCTGTCTCACACGTTTCAGGTGATGCCGAACGTGTTCACCCAGTTCCCTGAGAACGGATCTCAATTGCGGTGAAATTTTTCCCTGAAAAACACTTTCCGGATCAAGACCATGCCTGGAAACAATATCGTTGGGCAAAAACATCTGTCGACGCGACGCGTGCCACGGCAAGGCGCGCATCAGACCCGTCAGACCATAGGCGACACCGGCATGTCCGGCCGCGGTGGCAGTTCCCGGATCCCTGCCATTGTTGAGAACAAGACAGGCAAGCTGGATCAAACCGGAAACCGTTTCACCGAGATATCCTTCCAGATCATTCAGGCTCGGCATCGGATCATCATAGAGATCGAAAATTCTTGCCTCTGTCATCGCCAAAAGCCCCGGGCGCGGCAATCTGTACGTCGCGATCGTCTGTGTGAGCGTATTGGCGACCGGATTGGATGCTACGGCTCCGTGCTCCGTTCCCTCCAGCAGATCACGCCACCACTGCAGGCGCACTTCACCGGGCAATGGCTCCGACACGACTTCGCGAATGCGCGCAATTTCCGCATTGAATGCATAAAGCGCCATCAAACCCGGTCTTTGCGCCTCCGGAGCCAGCAACGTCGCGAGATAACGGTCCCTGTCGTACTGGCGAACAATATCGGCGGCATAATCATCGTCGGTGGTCATAGGCGCCCATATGGTTTGAAAACCGGATCAGTCTACCGCCAATAAAGCCGCTGCCACTGCCCGGTCCTCGGACAGGAGAACATTGAATGTCCGAACTGCCGCTCCCGTTGACATGGGGTCTGCCAGGATTTCGACTTCGCGGAACCGGAATTTCAGGTCCGCCGGAAGCGGACGCAAATCCTTGCCGGTTCCCACGAGCAGCACCTCGATGTCTGCATGTTCTTCGAAGACACGCTGGAAAGCTTCATCGCTGAATTCGGCCGGATCACCTATGTTCCAGCCATAGATCCCACTGGGGACGCATAACAGCGACCCCAGGTGGGACATGTTCGCAAATCTGAAGCCACCGTCGCCGTAGGCATCAATTGGCGCCCTGCCGGGAAAATGAGCTTTCCGGATTTCCATCTGGAAAGATCCTTAAACAGTCGCGTTCGCCTTGGCTTCCTTTTCATCATCGCCATCATTTCGGGACAACGCGTCCGGACGAAGGTTGAGCAGGATAAGCAAAGGAGCTGCCAGGAAGATCGACGAGTAGGTTCCAATCACGATGCCGAAGATCATCGCGAGCGTGAACGACTGAATGACCTCTCCGCCGAAAACATAGAGCGCAATCAGGGCCAGGAGTGTCGTGACAGATGTCATCGTTGTGCGCGACAGGGTCTCGTTGATGGACTGATCCAGAATGTCCGCCAGCAGCTGGCGTATCGTGATAACGCGAAAAAACAACCCATAAAGTATGGTGCGATCTTGATCTACCGTCGTCGATTATTAAATCGCAACGGTGCGCGTGATGGGTGGATTATATCAATCACCATGTGGATCCCTCATGAACTCATCGTTAATGCGTGGTGTTGGTTTGGTGTGGTAACATTATGTTAAACGATCACGTTGAATCGCCTCATGATCTGCAGCAACGGTATTGCGAGATCATTCACCACTGATGATAAGATTAATCAATGGATTACCAGGATCGGCTCTCTGATCACGGGCGCCGAGATGACTTCATCGTCCAGGAGAATTGCAATGGGGAAATTGACGTTTTCTGTCGTGACCCGTGCAAATTCCCGAGCCCCCGACTGGTTGAAGCGGAAGGTCACAACCGGTTCGTTGGTATTCTGGCCGAAGGCAACCTGTGCGTCGACAAGGTCTTCCCCACCCAACAAGGGTGTGGTTTGCAGGAGATAGGGAATGGGAGGATCGTCAACTGACATGAACACCGAGGTACCCACCGGTGGGCGGCTCTGAAGCGCCTGTTCACCTGTCATGTTTCTGTCGACCAGATGGAATGTCAGCTTCGCGGTTTCACCGATAAGATCCTTGAGGCGTTCAGGATCTCCCTCACCCGGCGCTTCCACCAGGATCCGGTCTGTCCCCTGCCGTTGAATATTCGGCTCGGTCGTGCCGAGCTCGTCAACACGTTTGCGGATGACTTCGATGGATTGCTGGACGATCGACTGAAGCCTGTTGTCCAGGCCTGCTTCTGAATAGGTAAACCGGACCAGTCCATTGTCATCGACACTCAAATCGAACTCGTCGACCGGCTGACCTCCGAACAAGCTGGAAACAAGAGGATTTACCAGTGGCGAAAGGCGCTCCCTTGCCTCATCCAGGCGTGTCAGATCCCGAATTCTGACCTGCGCGGACTCCGGTCGAGCGTCCAGGCCTGTATAGCCAATTCTCGGGTTTTCCCGCAGAACGTCCCGAATTTCGCCTTCAAGTGCCTTAAAACGATCTTCGATGTATTTTTTCTGATCCACTTCATAGAGCAGATAAGCGCCACCCTGCAGATCGAGCCCAAGAACCATCTGGTTCTTCGGCAGGAAGTCCGGCCAGCTCTCGAGTTGTTTGGCGGTAAAGAAATTCGGCAGCGTCGTGAGAATACCTGCGGCAACCACAAGCACGATCAGCACGAATTTCCAGCGAGCGAAATGAAGCATGACAGAGCCTTAAAAACAGCCAGGCCGATAACGCGCCGGCCTGGCAACAAGATCGATACGGTACCGTTGCACCTCAGGACTTGTCTTTGGCCGGCTCGGACTTGGAGCGTACTTCCTGAATCATGGATCGCACAACGCGGACCTTGATGCCTTCAGACAGTTCGACCTGCAATTCACTATCGTCTACCACCTTCGCGACTTTGCCGATAAGTCCGCCGGTGGTCACAATGGTGTCACCGCGACGCAGGTTGGCAACCATCTCCTGGTGTTGTTTCATGCGCTGTCTTTGCGGCCGTATGATCAGGAAATACATGATCGCGAAAATGGCCACGAAGGGCAGGATCTGAATCAGGAATCCCGGACCCATGGCTCCGGCGGACTGCGCATACGCTGGGGTGATCAACATTCAACTCTCCTCAGGGGCGTCTTTCAGCCGGCGTTCCGCTTGGAACGCTGACAAAACGCTCTGAATTCTGGTCGCGCGGACTATAACGGCGGCGCGCCTCATTTCAAGCGTTGCAAGCCGATTCCGGCGTACCGGTATGGGAATAACTGGCGTTTTCGCGCTACCTGCCCCATGCTACTGCTCTCGCAACACGTTTCAGGCTCTCAAATGGGCCTTTTTGACTGGGGTTGCAAGAATTATGAGTGCGCAAAACGACCTTGCCGCATTGAACGCCAAACTCGAGTCCCTGATTGAACTCGTCAGCCGCGCCGTACCGGCCAGTGCGAAGGAGCCTGACTGGTCTGCCGCCGAGGCCTTTGTCTGGATTCCCGAGCCGGGCGACCTGCACGCGGTGGAGAAAGTAAACCGTGTCGATATTGCACTGCTGTGTGCCGTTTCCCATGTTCGGGACCTGTTGCTCGACAACACCAGACGTTTCGCGGACGGGCTCCCGGCCAACAATGCCCTTTTGTGGGGCGCGCGCGGCATGGGTAAATCGTCATTGGTGAAGGCTGCGCATGCGGCGATCAACCGGGAAGACGATTCGAGCAGTCTGAAACTTATTGAAATACACCGGGAAGACATCGAATCGTTGCCGAAGCTCATGGCCCTGATCCGCTCCGCACCTTTCCGGTTCATCATCTTTTGCGACGATCTCAGTTTTGACAATGATGATACATCCTACAAGTCGCTCAAGGCTGTTCTGGAAGGCGGCATCGAAGGACGTCCGGAAAACGTCATTTTCTATGCAACATCAAACCGTCGACATTTGTTGCCCCGCGACATGATCGAGAACGAACGCTCGACCGCGATCAATCCGGCAGAAGCGGTTGAGGAAAAAGTCTCCCTGTCCGACCGTTTCGGTCTCTGGCTCGGCTTTCACAAATGCAGCCAGGATGACTATCTCGACATGGTGCGCGGGTATGCCGCTCACTACGGACTGGAAATTCCCGAAGATGACATGCGCTCGCAGGCGCTGGAATGGTCCACGACCCGCGGCAGCCGCTCAGGACGGGTCGCCTATCAGTACATACAGGATCTTGCCGGCCGTCTCGGCAAGGCTCTGACATGAAAAATCCCGGCATTGCCGGGCTTTTTCTCGTGTGTGACGCAAGACCTAGCGCTGTGGCAGATGCTTCAGCGGATCGACTGGCTTGTTGCCCCTGCGCAGTTCGAAGTGCACCTGGGGCTGGTTGACCGAACCCGTAGCACCGGCAAGACCCACCACGTCGCCGCGCCGGATCGTGTCGCCGCGCTTGACTTTCAGTTCGCTGTTATGCGCGTAAGCCGAAACCCAGCCTTCGCTATGCCTGACCAGAACGAGATTGCCGTAGCCTTTAAGCTCATTGCCCGAGTAGATCACGGTGCCATCATCGGCGGCCTTGACCGGAGTGCCTTCCGGCACAGCAAGGTTCTCGCCCTCGTTCTTGCCTCCGCCGGGTTTGGAGCCGAAGTCGGAGATGATCCGGCCACGCACCGGCCAACGGAATTTTTCGCTGGACACGTCGGCATCCTGCTTGAGGCTTGCGACGGTCGGCGTTTTGATCGGTTCTGTCGGCCGCGGTTCTTGAGTCAAGGCAGGTTGCGGAAGCGAAACCTTTTGGACCGGTGCCGTCGGCGTAGCAGCTACCTGTTTCCTGGAGTCCGTTGAAATCGATGCAGTCGTGACCGGGCGCCCCGAAGCGGCGGGTTTGCGTTTCGGTAGCGTACTGACACGAATGACGTCAACGTCCTCGACGATGGTTTCCGTGGTGCTTATCTGCGTGAATGTCGGCTGCCTGAACGGTTTGCGATCCGGTCGAGGGGCCGCTCCCGAATTTGTAGAGACCGAACCGGTGACAACAGTTTCGTTCCTGCTGACCTTCGGCAATTTGACCTTGCCGCTCTCACCTTCGGTAGCGCTCGCAAGACCGTTTCGATCGGAATAGACATAAGTCGGTATGACGATGCTCTGACCAGGACGAACCTGATCGGCATTGTCTATCCCGTTGACGGAAGCAAGCGCTTGAACCGGCACGCCATAGCGCCGAGCGATCGAATTCAGGTTGTCACCCTGGCGAACATTGACCCTGGTTCCGCCGGCCGAAGTCCAGCCTTTCCAGCTTTTTGCGTTTGTTGCGTTAACTGTTTCAGGTGCCGGAGCCGTGGCAACCGGAGCGGCCTGTACAGGCGCTGGCTGCACGACGGCAGACTGTGTCGGCGCCGGCAGCGGTGCTGACTGGATGTCCGAAGACTTTTTGGGAATTGATCCGGTCGTCACTGGCGCTGTGCTTGCCTGCGGAAGCCCTGCGGTGGTTCCGCCAGGCCCAGTGGCAATGTCCTGATAGGTCGGCTGCTTTGGCGCGCCGTTCAGGATCTCACGCTGGTTTTCCGTGTTTCCCGTATAATACGGAGGTTCTCCAAAACGCTCAACCGCACTGGAACAACCTGCAAGGGATACCGCGATCAAAGATATTGTGGCCGCTTTTCCCAGTAGATCCCCGCGGAGGGTACGCATCCGCTTTTTCATCGCCTTAACTCATAACGCTAACTGTGGCTGCTATGGTTAAGAGTAGACGCCAGTAAGGTTTATAAAGACTAAAGACACCGGGCGATTGCGGCAAAACCCGCCAATTTCTTTGACTTTTTTGATTCAACAATGTGCCCGGTGTGGGAGATTATAGTAAATCGGGCACCGAATCCTCCCCGAGATTCGCACTCCTGACTGCGAGTTCGATGATACGATCCGCGGCTAGAGTCGCTGTGCGACCCCCGGTTGAAGCATGACGGTTCTGACGGGCATCAAGGTTTCCGCCGTCATCACACTTTCCGTCTTCACAAACCTGATCAATGACTGGGGCTGCATGGATTGACCGACAGGTGCGATCAGAATACCACCCGGCTTGAGTTGCTGGACCCAGTTGTCAGGAACCGAGGGTATAGCGGCGGTCACAATGATACGATCGAAGGGGCCTTTTTGTTTCAAACCTTCGAACCCGTCGCCTTGCCGAGCTGTTACGTTATCAAGTTTCAAAGCCGCAAACCGTCGTCTTGCAAGGTCGGCAAGCGTGGCAAACCGATCGACGGTCTCCACTCTCTCCGTCAAATGCGCCAAAACTGCAGACTGGTATCCTGAGCCTGTGCCTATTTCGAGAAGGGCATGCTCAGGAGACACGTCCAAAGCCTGCGCGGTGAATGCAACAAGCGATGGAGAGGAGACGGTTTGTCCGCATTCAATCGGAAGAGTCACGTCTTCATAGGCGAGGCTGTGGTGCCGCGCAGGCAGGAAGAGGCGCCTTGGAACGCGCTCGATAGCCGAAAGAACGTCCCGGGCTCCAACACCCTGTCGGCGCAACGAAAGCACCAGCGCTGCGCGCGCCTCCGCCTCATCCGGCAAAGCGGATGACCGCATCGTCTGTTCTTCGCCAGGCGGCGTTCCCGCCATGCGCTCTTCCTCTCTGCGGACTTTAGGCCAGTGCCTCGGCAAGGTGACCGACCAGATCATGCGCCGTCAAATCTATGCGTAGCGGTGAAACGGATACATAGCCATCGCCAATTGCCTGCAGATCGGAATTATCAAGAACGGATTTGCCCCGCTCGCGGAACCGAAGCCAGTAGTAAGGATAGCCACGTCCATCCTGACGTTCGTCAATGGAAAGTCCGCTTTGTTCGTGATGCCCCTGAACAGTGACTTTCAAGCCCTTGACCGCTTCCGGTGCACAGGCCGGGAAATTCACGTTCAGCAGCGTGTATGGCGGCAGTTGAAAATCAATGAGCCTGGTGAACAATTCCGGTGCATGAGTTTCTGCGATAGAAAAGTTCGGTTCCGCTTTCACGTCCCAGTCATATGCCTGGGATACGGCAATTGAGCGTATGCCGAGAATTGCGCCTTCGATCGCACCTGCCACGGTTCCTGAATAGGTGACGTCTTCGGCCAGGTTCTGCCCGCGGTTGATGCCGGACAGGACCAGGTCGGGCCGTTCCGGCAAAATCTTGTGTACACCCATGATGACACAATCGGTAGGGGTACCCTTGATGGCGAAATGCCGATCGTCGAGCGCTCTGGAGCGAAGCGGATCGCTCAGTGTCAACGAATGCGCAACTCCGCTCTGATCCGTTTCTGGTGCAATCACCCAGACATCGTCTGAAATCGTCCGTGCAATGCGCTCCAGAGACGTCAGCCCCGGCGAGTGAATGCCATCGTCATTCGTTATCAGGATGCGCATGTGAAAGTCTCTCCATTTGCATTCAAATCAAGAAAAATCCCATCCTTCGATTTTCCGTCTGAAGATGGGACGATCCCGGGCGGCGGCCTTTGTGAATCTACCGCCAGGGTCATTATTCATTCACGCAAATGATCGATCGGATCAGGACGACCCGACCTCTCCTGTCATCCGATCTTTTCCAGGCCACCCAAATAGGGGCGCAGGACTTCCGGCACCGAAATGCTGCCATCGCCGTTCTGATAGTTTTCCAGAACCGCAATCAGCGCACGGCCGACGGCGATACCCGAGCCATTGAGCGTGTGCACGTGCACCGGATGTTTGCTGTCCGCCGGCCGGAAGCGCGTATTCATTCGGCGGGCCTGGAAATCGCCACAGACCGAACAGGACGAGATCTCACGGTAGGCGTCCTGACCCGGCAACCAGACTTCAATGTCATAGGTCTTGCGTGCCCCGAACCCCATGTCGCCCGTGCAAAGGGTCATCACACGATAGTGCAATCCCAACTTCTGCAGGACCTTTTCGGCGCAGGCCAGCATGCGGTCGAGTTCTTCGAGCGATTGATCGGGTGCTGTGACCGACACAAGCTCACATTTCTGGAACTGGTGCTGACGCAACATGCCACGTGTATCTCGGCCTGCAGAACCTGCCTCGGAACGGAAACAGTAAGTCAGTGCCGTGACACGGAGCGGTAGCGTATCCTCCGGGACAATCTGGCCAGCGACAAGATTGGTCAAAGGAACTTCGGCCGTCGGGATCAGATAATGTCCCGTCGTCGTTTTGAAGAGATCCTCTTCAAATTTAGGCAACTGGCTTGTGCCATAAAGTGGCGCGTCGTGCACCAGAAGAGGTGGCGACACTTCCGTGTAGCCGTTCTCCTGCGTGTGCAGGTCGATCATGAACTGGCCGAGTGCACGCTCCAGCCGCGCGACCTGCCCTTTCAGAACGACAAAGCGCGATCCGGACAGTTTGGCAGCCGTGGTGAAATCCATGTCACCGAGAGTTTCACCAAGTTCAAAATGCTCTTTCGGCCGTTCATTGAACGTGAATTGCGGCTTTTCGCCATGGGCCCTCAGGAGCACATTGTCATTTTCATCCTCCCCCTCCGGCACGTCGTCATGCGGCAGGTTCGGAATAACGGCCATTTCCGCTTCCAGATTCGAATTCAGCCGACGCTCTTCTTCCTCACCCGACTGGATGAACGCCTTGATCTGGGCTACCTCGTCAATGAGTTCCTGTGCCCGGGCGTCGTCTCCCGAACCCTTGGCCTTGCCGATTTCCTTGGAGGCAGAATTCCGCCGTTCCTGTGCTTCTTGAAGCTTGGTGATGTGAGAGCGACGGGAATCGTCCAGCGCTATCAGCCTGGCCGCGGAAGCTTCAAATCCCCGCTTTGCCAAGGCCTGATCAAAGGCGTCTGCATGTTCCCGAATCCACTTTATATCAAACATCTTCGCTTCCCGAACGACGGTCGTTGTCAACACATTCCGTCCGGCAAACTGATCAACGTCAGCTATACGTGGTCAGGCCGTAGCGTCTTCGGCTTCGCGTTCAGCTTCCCGCTGCGCGCGTTGGCGTTCCACCAGCCTTACGGACAGAATGGAGACTTCGTAGAGAAGCAACGTTGGGAGCGCAAGACCGATCTGCGAGATCGGATCGGGGGGTGTCAAAATTGCAGCAGCCGCGAAGGCGCCCACAATTGCGTATTTGCGCTTCTTTTTGAGGTCTTCAGACGAAACCAGACCTGCCCGCCCCATCAGTGTCAGCACCACAGGCAACTGAAACACCAGGCCGAACGCAAAGATCAGGACCATGATCAGGCCGAGATATTCGCTGACCTTGGCCAAATGCTGAATGGCGACCTGCCCTGCCCCGGCCAGCTGTTCCTGTGACAGAAAGAATCCCATCGCCATCGGCATAACCAGGAAATAAACCAGACATGCACCAATGAGAAACAAAATAGGTGTTGCGATCAGAAACGGCAGAAATGCGCCACGTTCGTTTTTGTAGAGGCCTGGCGCAACAAACATGTAGATTTGACTGGCCACAACGGGAAACGCCAGAAACAGTGCCCCGAACAAAGCAAGCTTCAATTGCGTAAAGAACCATTCCTGCGGTGCAGTAAAGATCATCTCCACTGGATGGCCTTCGCCGACGGCACGCAGATACGGGATCGTCAGGATATTGTAGATGTCCGTTGCAAAGTAGAAACAGATTACAAACATCACCAGGATTGCGGCTATCGACCACATCAGCCGCTGACGTAATTCGATCAGGTGTTCGATCAGAGGCGCCTTGGAGGCTTCGATATCATCCTGGCTCATGCCTTAACGTCTTCCGTCACCGGTTTCCTGTCCGGATTGTCCGCAGGTTCTGCTGCGGCAACCGCTTCTGGTTGCTCGGCGTCCCCTTTTGCGGGCTCAGCCGGCGCTATCTCTTCAACGGCGGTCTCTGACTGGGCGGATGGAGGCTTTGTGGTCATCGGTTTCGATGCCTTTTGGGCCGCATCTTCCTCAATCGACTTTTTGAGATCACCAAGTGGATTGAAGTTCGCTACGTCTTCGACCTGCTTCTTCATGTCGGCAATGTCGGCTTGCTGCTCAGCTTCGCGCAAAGCATCATTGAACGTCGACTGGAACTCGCGCGACATTCGCCGTGCCTTTCCGATCGTCTGTCCAAGTGTGCGCAACATGCGCGGAAGGTCTTTTGGCCCTACAACGATGATCGCCACACAGGCAATCACCATGAGTTCGGTCCAGCCGATATCGAACATGAGATATACCGTCCCTTAAGGAGACGCGATGCAGATTGAGATCAGCTCGCCTTGGTCTGATCTTCAGCTTTCGCAGACTGTGCTGGTTCGCCGGCCTGATGATCGATGGTCTTCGGGGCGTCGGCAGTGTCGTCTTCTGCCATGCCTTTCTTGAAGCTTTTGATCCCCTTCGCAACATCACCCATCAGTTCGGAAATCTTGCCACGTCCGAACAGCAGAACCACCACAACTGCGATGATCAATATCTGCCAAATACTACTGCCCATACGCCAAACTCCTGATAATTGGCTTTAAAGCCCTACGGCCCTTGTACAAAAACGGACCTGACCCTGCAACATACACCTTAAGAACATTTTCCGCTCTTAGACAGAATGATGAAATAGGGCCGGTTTTGTGTCCTAGACTTGGGACTCCCCGCGCGAAAAAACAAGCACGTCCTTCGGATCCGTCTCCACCGAAACATTCATTCCGGCTTCCCATGAGCTACCGGCACGAACCCTTGCCTGCAACGGATGGTCGAGTCCATCGATCACGACAGACAAGAGTTCGACCTCGCCGACGAATCGTTTTGTGAGAATTCGACCGGGTACACCACACAACCCCGCCTTGTTCAAACAGATCCCCTGGGGCCGGATGCAAACGTCGACCTTTCCATTGGTCTCCGCACATTCGGATTTTACAACACCGAGCGGAGTTTCGACACCCGTCACGGTGACCTGCCCTTCTATCTGGTTCAATTCCGAGAAAAAGCGAGCCGCAAAGAGATCAACCGGGTCGTTATACAATTGTGCAGCCGTTCCGAGTTGAACCAGTCGCCCCCGGCGCATCAGGGCAATCCGGTCGCCCATGCGCATCGCTTCTTCCGGATCGTGGGTCACGATGATGCATGTTGCCCGTGTTTCCCGGATGACGGCCAGCGTCTGGTCCCGAACGCTGTCTCGCAAGCGCTTGTCCAGACCCGAGAACGGTTCATCCATAAGCAGAATTCCCGGTCGCGGGACCAGGGCACGTGCCAGCGCAACCCGCTGCTGTTCACCACCCGATAGGGAGTGAGGATAATCGCCGGCATAGTCGGACAAGCCAACCCGCCCCAACGCTGCAAGCGCAGCGGCCTGCGCCTCCTTGTTCGGAAGCCCCGTCAAGCCCAACATCACATTGGCAAGAATGGTCATGTGGGGGAAAAGAGCGTAGTCCTGGAACATGAGGCCCACGCCTCGCCGTTCAGGCGGAAGAAAGAAACTGTCTCCGGAAACTTCACGTCCGTTGATGAGAACCTTGCCGTGGCTCTGTCTTTCAACACCTGCAGCAATGCGCATCAACGTGGTCTTGCCGCAGCCCGAATGTCCAAGGAGACACAGAATTTCGCCCGGTGCGATCGACAGACTCAGATCGCGTACAGACATGACACCATCATAGTCGTGCGAAATGTTCTCAAACACCAGACCGGCTGCAATGGTCGCGCCGGCGGTTCCCGGCGCGCCCCAGCTCAACTGGTGTCCGTTTCCATTGGACGGCAGCGACGTATCTTTCTGTGGCATCAAGCTCCGGCGGTCTCTTCCGCATCTTCGTCAAAGAGAGACCCGTCTTCTAATGGATCTTCGTCCTCCGTCAAAGTCACTTCATCGTTCGGTGTGGGAACGATGAAGGATGCCGGCACGGCACTGTCCAGCAAGCCAGCGCCCTTCAACTCTTCAAGGCCGGGAAGATCCCGGACATTCTCGAGACCAACATGGACCAGGAACTGCTCGGTGGTTCCATATGTCACAGGTCGCCCAGGTGTGCGCCGGCGCCCGCGCATCCGGATCCAGGTGGTTTCCAGCAACACGTCCAGCGTGCCCTTGGAGGTTGAGACGCCGCGTATTTCCTCTATTTCCGCCCGTGTCACCGGCTGGTGGTATGCGATGATGGCAAGTGTCTCCAGAGCCGCGCGGGACAGCTTGCGTTGCTCTTCGACATTTCGGTGCATCAGATAGGCAAGATCCTCGGCGGTGCGAAAGCACCATTTGCCGGCGACCTTGACCAGATTGACGCCGCGCGGTGCATAAAGCGCCTGCAACTGGTCAAGCAACCCCAGCACATCCGTGCCTTCAGGAACCCTGAGCGTCAATTCTTCTAGCGACAGCGGCTCGGACGATGCAAACAGCAGTGCCTCGATCATCCGCAAGCCGGTCAAATCGTCCGCTGATCCGCCGGCTTTTCTCAGATTTGGATCGACGAGGTCGAGACGGTCGGTGTCAGACGTCATCGCCCTCTTCCTCTTCCTTCACGATGGAGCGAATATAAACCGGTGAAAACGCTTCACCTTGCCGGATTTCCACCTGACCCTCGCGAACCATCTCCAGACTGGCGGAAAAGGTACTGGCGACAATTGTTGCCCAATCCTTGTTGTCATAGAGGTATTCGCGCAAATACGCATTCAAAGGCGCCCACTCGCTTACCCGGCCAACCAGCCTCATCAGCAGTTCTCGTGCCTCCTGCAACGACCAAACCGTTCTTCTCAGCACCCTCACAGACGTGACCGACTGCCTTTGCCTCTGTGTCGCATAAGCTGACAGAAGGTCGTAGACGGACGCATCCCATATGCTTTTGTGCTGAACGGACATCGTTTCAGGAGCGCCACGATGGAATACCTCGCGGCCCTGACGGTAGCGGTTCATCAGTTTTTCGGAGACTTCCCGCATTGCCTCGAGACGACGCAACCGAAATGCCAGCGCAGCGGCAAGTTCTTCACCTGTCGGCTCGTCCTCGTCCCGCTGTTCGGGCAGAAGCAGCTTGGACTTCAGGAAGGCGAGCCACGCAGCCATCACAAGGTAATCCGCCGCCAGCTCCAGGCGCATCCTGCGGGCCTCAGCCACAAACTCTAGATACTGTTCGACCAGTTCCAGGATAGAGATGCGTGCCAGGTCGACTTTCTGCGTGCGTGCGAGGCCGAGCAACAGATCGAGCGGACCTTCGAATCCATCAACATCGACGACAAGCTGCGGATCCGTTGTGGCGCGCTGTTCAACAGAATTGACGGTGCTCAACAGGTCATAAGAGCCGTCATCTGCAATCTGCCTATGGGTTTCCAATTCCGCCATTCACGCTCCGGTCAAGCACCCTGCCACCCGGTCAATGTACAAAACTCATCCCAGGCAGTTTTTTCGTCAAAGCCGGGTGCCGGCGCCTTCAACTCGTTCAACGCTTGCGCGCACCTGCGTTCAGCCTCACCAGCAAGGTGCGGCACAGATTCGGCAACAGCTAACATTTCGTCCATATCACCGTTGCAATGCAGAACAATATCACAGCCTGCCTCGACTATTTTCCGGGACCGTTCGACAAAGTCACCTCCGAGTGCTTTCATCGATATGTCGTCGCTCATCAGGCAGCCATCAAATCCGATTTCCTTCCGGATAATATCCTGAACTACTTTCTTGCTCTGTGTTCCTGCCGTTTCCGGATCGATCCCTTCGTACACAATATGGGCAGTCATACCCAATGACACGCTAGAAAGTGCCTTGAAGGGCCGGAAATCCACGCTTTTCAGCTCCAAAAGACCTGCTTCCACCCTGGGAAGCTCAAGATGACTGTCGACGCGTGCGCGACCGTGCCCCGGGATGTGCTTTATGACAGGAAGCACCCCTCCCGCTCTTGCCCCGTCAATCATGGCCCGGCCAAGTGTCGCAACGGTTTCCGGATTCGCGGAAAGGGACCGATCACCAATAGCATCGACAGTGTCGGGAAAACGAACATCCAGACACGGCAGACAGTCTATCGTGACACCGACTTCAAACAGATCCCCGGCACTCAGGCGCGAACCGAGCCAGGCTGCTCGCAACCCAATTTCAGGGTTCTTGTCGAACAAGTCGCCAAAGAGTTTCGGCGCAGGATACTTGGGCCAATGCGGTGGTTTCAGGCGCTGGACGCGCCCTCCTTCCTGATCAACCAGAACCGGAGCATCTGCGCGCGCAACGGCTTGCCGAAACGAGGACGTCAGTTGCTTCACCTGCTCGGGCGACTCTATGTTTCGCGCAAACAAGATGAGGCCCCAGGGATCTGCGTCCCTGAAAAAGGCGATTTCGTCTTGGGTCAGAAACGGTCCTGCGCACCCGGAAACAAAGGCTTTGGTCATGACTTCCGGCTTAACGGGCAGCTTCGAACCCGTCAAGAAAGCCTTCCTGTCCTCTTGCGCCCATCCCCTGAACTTGCAATCTAGTCACATATGCACTCAGTCAGGATTGGAGCCTCCCATGCGCGCGCGTCTCGATATTCCAGCCGGCACGCTGCACCGGATCTCGCACCGGTCAGAGATTCTTGGCCAGAACAGACTGGGTGACACGGCTACGCGCGAGATTGTTGTCTATACACCCCATGGTCACGATGGTGCCGATTTGCCTCTTCTCGTGGATATTGTCGGTTTTACGGCCGGAGGCCCCGCCCACACCAACTGGAAAAATTTTGGAGAAAATGTACCCGAACGTCTCGACCGTCTTATCCATGACGGAGACCTTCCTCCCGTGGTTGTGGCGTTTCCCGACTGTTTTACCCGCCTCGGCGGAAATCAGTACATTGACAGCCTTGTCATGGGGCCCTGGGCAACATGGCTAACCACCGAGATGCTCGAAGACATCGAGGGTCGTTTCGGATGTGGTGGTGCCGGGATGCGCGGTATATTCGGCAAATCGTCCGGTGGGTACGGTTCGATCGTTCACGCCATGAAGCACCCCGATGTATGGTCCGCAGCCGCGTGCCATTCCGGAGACATGGCATTCGAGCTGTGCTACTTGCCCGAAATGGCAAGCGCGCTGCGGGTCATCGCAAAAGACGGATCCATTGAGGCCTTCGTCACTGACTTCGAAAAAGGGCCAAAATATCCGGGTAACTCACTCCACGACCTCATGACATTCGCAATGGCAGCGACCTATGATCCTGATCCCGATCCGGAAGTGTTTTGTGGCATCAGGTTGCCCGTTGACCTGGAAACCTGCGAGATCATCGAAGAACGCTGGGCTGCCTGGCTGCGCTGGGATCCCGTCGAGATGGTCGATGATCATATCGCCCCCCTGAAATCAATGAAGGGTCTCTGGATCGATTGCGGCAATGTCGATCAATACAATCTTGTCTACGGGGCGAGAAGATTGCAGAGAAAGCTGGTCGCGGCCGGTGTTGACCACGTTTATCAGGAGTTCAATGACAACCACTCTTCAATCGATTATCGCCTCGATGAAAGTCTGCCGTTTCTTGCAAACAAACTGCTGGGAAAGTGAGTCAGGAAAATCAGCCTCAAACAGGTTTCCGTCCCTTTCCGGCTGTTAGAGGAACCGACAGGACAACCCCGCCCAGAATAATCAGGCAGGCACCGACTGCTGCAAGCGGAGACGGGATTTCGCCCCAAAAAACGTAGGCAAAAATCGCCGCCAGAACGACGCTGCCATAGTAAATCGGCGCAAGTGTCGCGGCGCCCGCGCGCCGGTAAGCAGAGATATTGAGAGACTGGCCAATGATTGCAACAGGACCGAGCCACGCAAACACCAGCAGTCTGTTCCAGGAGATGTCCTGTGCACTGATGAGCCAGAGCACCGGCGCCGTCAGGATCACGCTGGCGAATATGTTCACATAGGCCAGGATTGTCACGGTATCTTCACGCTGCGCTATATAGCGCATGATCAACGCCTCGCATGCCATGAAAACGGCCGCGAAAAGAGCGGCAATAATACCGTCCAACGCAAGTGACGTCCCGCCCTCCGCGTTGTTCGCGGCCCGCACGACCAGATAAGCGCCGATGGCACAAAGGCCGCCTGCCAGCCAGTGACGACCGGTAATCATCTCCTTCAAGATTACGCCCGCAAGCGCAATGGCGATAATGCCTTTTGTCAATCCTATGGCGGTCGCGTCGGCCAACGGAAGGATGCTGGCGGCATAAATCGTACATGCCAGTCCGCCAACACCGCAGAACGCACGCATCAGGTGAAGCTTCCAAAGAGGACTTAGCCGTGAGAAAACCGGGACACGTCTGACGGCACCGTAGCCGACAATCGTCACGGCCCCGCCGAGAAACCGCAACCACACCAGAACGGCAACCGGCAACAAGCCGTCCGCAATCTTTCCTGCAGCGAAAACAGGCGTGAAAGCCGTCATTCCGGCCAGTGCAAGTGCAAATGCAAGTACAGTGTTTTCCGGACGTGAGTGGATCGACGGTGGTGGCATTGGTACTTTCCTCGATACCGGTTGTCTGTCTCTAACACCGAAATCGCGCAAGGGTCAGACACAATATCGCTATACCTGCCATGCAAAAACGCATCGCATTGCAGGTTTGTAGCCGTTTATGTATATCTCTCCCATGAACTGGGATGACTTGAAACTGATCGATGCAGCTGCACGGATGAGATCCTTGTCCGGTGCTGCAAAAGCACTGGACCTCAGCCAACCTCAATTGAGCCGCCGCCTGAAGCGTTTTGAAGATCGGGTGGGCGCTCGTTTGTTCGACAGAACACCGACCGGTCTCAAACCGACCGAAGCCGGCCTGCGCCTGATACCTCTGGCGGCAGAAATGCGCAAAAATGCGGATGCGGCGAGCCGCGTTCTTCCGGATCTCTCCGGATCCGCGCTGAAGGTCGTGCGCGTTGCAGTCGACGAAGTGCGCGCACGGATTCTGACCGACAGTTTCTGCGATCTGACCGCGCTTCTCGATGGTGTCGAATTGGAGATCATTTCAAGTCACCTGCATGCCGATCATCAATCGCGCGGCATTGAACTGCAGATACGCAGCTGTCTTCCCGAGACAGATACCTTGATTGCACGCAAGGTCGGAGACCTTGCTTACGGCGTTTACGGATCCGGTGCTTATGTAAATTCCAATCCCGATGCACTGAATGACTTGCGATACAAGAATTGCGACTGGCTGGGATTTGCTCCGGACGATCTTTGGTACCCTTCTCAGGTTCGCTGGATGGAAGCAAAACAAGTCGGCCGACCGAAAATGCGCACCAATACGATGACGACATTGTTGAACATGACCGTATCTGGCAAAGGTCTCGCGGTACTGCCGGTTTTCATGGGTGACGGTCATCCTGACCTTGTCACGCTGACCGGCCCGCTGGAAGAGTTGACGAACTCCGAGCACATAATCGTTCACAGAGACGTGCGAAGGGAACCTGCCGTGCGGCGCGCAATTGAAGCCATTGCGAGCGTTTATAAGGAAATGTCGCCAAAACTGACCGGTGCCGGTCCGTCACGGTCACTGCAAGCAGCAGAATAAAAGGGTCGGAAATCCGACCCTTTGTCTATGTGCGGAATTGATCTGCAAAAGCGCTACTGCTGCCGCCTTACGAAGCATTCGCCTCCAGCTGCCGTCAGGCTTTCACAAAGCCTGTTGGCGTCTTCACGCGAGTTCGTTGGAATTCTGGCACGATAGTAAACACCCCGGTCGCCGAGGTCAGCCGACACGATGACCGCATTCCGATTGCCGAGCACACCCGGGTAGCGCCTTTGAAGGCCTGCAAATGCATCGCTCGCTGCAGAGGCGGAGCGTTGCGACGTCACCTGGACAATGTAGGTGCCGGAAGGAATCGATCCACTGGTCGAGGTTCCGCCGGATGTCGTAGCTGCAGGCGCCGGGGCACTTGAAGCATTATTCAAGTTGAGCGGGCCATCGGCCTGCGCCGGAGTTGAAGACGTGTTTTGTGTCGCAGGTGCGCTGGCAACCCGCACAGGCGGAACGGGTTTTTTCCTGGGAAGAACCGTGGGAACTGGTGCGGCCGGCTCCGCACCAGCCGGCTCCGTCACTGTCGGTTGTTGATTGTCGTTGACGATTGCAGGCACATCAGGAGCAGCCGGTTCGGCTGCCGCGACTGGTGCCGGTGCTTCGTCCTGCGTCTGAACCGGCAATGTTTCTGTTGGCTCGGGTGCTGATACGACTGGTTCTGCCGGGGCAGCATCCGCAACTAAAGGTGCAGCAGGAACAATCCGGGATGTATCAACGGATACCGACGGGGCCTGGTTCGCAGAAGGCTGCTGTACAGGTGCAATCGGCTTAGTTGGGGCCGCAGTCGCCGCTTCATCAGCCGAAACGATTGTGCCATCGGGACGAACGATAACGGTTCGCACCTGTTTGGGTGTTCCCGGAGCCAGTTCCGTGTTGTTGGTGGAGGCCGGTGCAGGCGGCAATTCGACAGGCTGCGGTGTTTCCTGAACGTCCAGACGATCCGGAACAGTTTCGGCTGTACTGTTGACCCGATCCAGAATTTTCGTCTGTGTCTGGCTCTGTTCCGGATAGATCTTCAAAGGCTCCTGCAAACCGCTGATGACAGGTGGAGGGCCACTCGGGACCTGAACTGCATCTCCATCGACAAGAAAGAAGCCGGCTCCCCCGAGCGCAGCAACGCCAACGATACCCAGTGTAACGTAAAGACCCCGACGCGACCTCTCCTTCGCCTGCGGGATTGCTTCCTTTTCCGCGGCTGAATGCGGAGGCAACACACCGGCGCCATTGAGGCTGGGGTCACTTTCCTGCATCGCTCTGGCGACTGCATCAAGATCATACCCTTCCGGCGGTGGAGGTGTCTCTTCTTCCGTTACCTGCGGAACAGCATTGGCCGCAGCAGGCCAGGCCATGTCGTCGATATCGTCAGCCGTTGCATCAAGGTCCTCCTCCGGAACCTCGGGTTCAACTGCGACAGGTTGCCTGTTGTCGCGCTCCGGGAAATCAAGGTCAGCGAACAGGGCATCAATTCCGGCGGGGCTTTCCTTTTCCTCGATCGCAGGCGCTACATCGCGAGATTGCGACGCGACTGGCTCGGGATTCAATGCAGCGAAAAAGTCGCTTTCATCAATCGCCGGCCGCCTTGTTTCGGAGGCCGTGTTCAATCTCCGCTCAACAGTGCGCTCAGGCTCGGCGACTTGAACCGGATGTTCACGAGGACGTTCAACAGGAAATTGGCGCTGCTCTGCGACGTGAGTATCGTCGGAAGGCGCTGTCTGCCTGACCTGCTCCAACAACTCTGCAGGCGTTCGCACATAAGAATTGTTTCGCGGCAGCGAAAACGCGGCCGGTTGCGTGCTGGCCAATTCGTCCGGTGCTTCGAATTCGGTGATCTCGTCAAACGGGTCAGACGAAACCAAATTATCTTCGGCTTCAGCCGGTTCCGGCGCAATCTCCTCATCCACAGACTGACGCAACGCTCCGATGAGTTCGTCTTCCAGTTCCGCGGTCAAATTCTGCTCAAGGTCCAGAGCAACTTTGGGCGCCAGTACCGTGCTTTCTTGAGTAACCTGCCGCACCAGCGGGTCACTCGCAGGTGGTACAGACGCTGCTGAAGATTCTGCCGGAGTCACTTTCTGCAGGAAACTGGATTCAACTAGCGGTCCTGCAGTTTGGGGATCCGCTATTGTCGGCTCTGAAGGCTGTGGATTGTTGGGCCTCGGCCACAAGGGGGATACGTTTTCGGTCGGCTCAACAGGGGTTGGTGCGAATCTGTGGTCTTCAGCAAGCGGGAATCGCGATGACGAATCATCGTCACGCCTTGCGAAAAACTGGTTACGGATTTCGCCAATAATAGGTGCTTGCGAAGACTCGGGATGAAACGCCGCCGGTTCCTTGACGGAGGGTTTCACCGTGTCCGCAGCAAAGGAAGGCTCAACTCGCCCATGCGCAGGCTCTACCGTCTTTTCCGCGTCCGGGGCAAAGTCGTCAAGTTCTGCAAAATAGTCTGTACTTTCGACCCGACCACTGCTCACATTTGCCCCCAATTGTTTGTTTTTCTGGACAATCCGTGCCAATTCAAGAAGCGGATCTTCCATGGCCGGTCGCACCGCACCTTCCTCGGCAGAGGACACGGGTTCATCAGCTTGATTATTTTCGTAATCGTTTGCCATGAGCCTTACGAAAACCGGTTCAGTTTTTCCGCGCGCGCATCACCTTCGACACACGGGACAGCGACATTTGCCTAACGCATTTCCTCAGGTGCATTTACACCAAGAATCGAAAGTCCTGAAGAGAGCACCAAAGATATTGCACGTACCAAAGCAAGACGTGCCAGGGTTAATTTCGGGTTACCGGCGTCAATAAAACGTAAATGCGGCATTTCCTTGCCTCTATTCCAATGGCCATGGAGTGAACTCGCCAAATCATGTAGATAAAACGCGATCCTGTGCGGCTCATGTGTTTCCGCCGCCGCATTCACCACTTTGGGCCATTCAGCCATCTTGGCAATCAATTCCAGCTCACCGCTGTCAACGAGCAAAGTGAGGTCCGCATCAGCAAGGTCGCTGTCCGTAGTCTCCAGGTCTGGAAGTTCTTCCGACGCCTGTCGCAGCACTGAACAGCACCTTGCATGCCCGTATTGCACATAGAAAACCGGATTGTCTTTCGACTGCTCCGTTACCTTGTTGATATCGAAATCCAGCGGAGCGTCGTTTTTCCGGAACAGCATCATGAAGCGAACCGGGTCCGAACCGACTTCATCGACGACTTCTCTCAAAGTTATGAAAGTGCCCGTCCTTTTTCCCATCTTGACGGGTTTACCGTCCCGCATCAGTTTCACGAGCTGGCAAAACCTGACAATGACATCGGTTTCGCCGCAGGATACTGCCTTGCCGACAGCCTGCAACCGTTTTGCGTAGCCACTATGATCGGCACCCAGGATATAGATCGTTTCCTTGAAACCCCGTTCGAACTTGTCCTGGAAGTAGGCAACGTCGGCTGCGAAATAAGTATACGACCCATCAGACTTTTTCAGTGCCCGGTCCGTATCATCACCAAAATCGCTCGCCCGAAAGAGCGTCTGTTCGCGGTCTTCCCAGTCTTCCGGCACCTGTCCTTTGGGTGGCGGCAAGGTCCCCTGATAGATAAGCCCCTTTTCCCGCAGCCCATCCAGCATATGGTCGATCTTCGAACCATTGGCACCGCTCCTGTCATGGAGCGTTTTTTCAGAAAAGAAAATCTCGTGTTCGACTCCAAGTGAGGCAAGGTCTGCTTTTATAAGCTCGAGCATCGCCGCCATCGCGGCTTCCTTGACGATTGGAAGCCATTCGGCATCCGGCATTTCCCGCAGTTTTTCGCCAAACTGGTCCTTGAGCAGAGACCCTACGGGTTTGAGATAATCGCCTGGATAAAGACCAGACGGGATTTCGCCTATGTCTTCACCGAGAGCCTCGCGGTACCGAAGGTATGCGCTCCGCGCAAGAGTTTCGATCTGCGATCCCGCGTCATTAATGTAGTATTCCTTGACGACATCGTTGCCGGCAAAAGCCAGCAGATTGGCAAGAGCATCGCCAACAACGGCACCGCGAATGTGTCCGACATGCATTGGTCCGGTCGGATTCGCCGACACATATTCGACATTCACCTTCGGAGAAGGCTGCAGAGCAGTTGCTCCAAAGCTCTCACCAAGACCAAGAACACTGCCGAGGACCCGCTGCCAAACGGCAGGTGCGACCCGGAGGTTGATGAACCCAGGTCCAGCTATCGTCGTCTCGGTTATGTCCGGGTCCTGATTGAGTTTTTGGACGAGTTTTTCGGCAAGGTCGCGCGGTTTCATCTTGAGCGGTTTTGCAAGCACCATTGCTGCATTGGTTGCGAAGTCGCCGTGATCGGGATCCCTCGGGGCTTCGACCACTACGCGCGTCAAATCCGGTGAAACTCCATTTTCATCATGAAGTTCAAGCTCCTGGAGTGCATTTTTCACGCGCTGCGTGAAGTCTGCGAAGATATTCATTTTACACCGATCAAGTTTGGTCTTCCAAGCACGGGATTCCCGTGAACAACAGGGCAGCAAATTCGCCCCTGCGCCTACCCTAAATCCGGAGTGTCGTCAAACAGCCTGCGGTGCTCCTCGATGGCGTAGCGGTCGGTCATGCCGGCAATGTAATCGCATATTCGCCGGGCTGTTTCGGTATCGCCCAGGGAACCCAGACCAACATTCCATGGATGTGGCATCAATTCGGGGTCCGACTGGTATTTGCGAAACAGATCCTTCACGATGCGGGCAACGAGCTTGCGAACGGCCAAAACATCCGCATGGCGATAAACACGGGCGAACAGAAATCTCTTAACTTCCTTTTCCGCAAGTGCCATTTCATCGGAAAACCCGACAAGACCCCTTCCGGCCATTCTGATATCGTTTGCAGATTGCGGATCAAGTTCGGATATGTTGCCGACGGCTTCCCTGATGACGTCCTCAACCATTCTTGTGATTGATCTGCGGACGATCTCGTGGATTCGCCTGCTTTCCTCCAACCCGGGATACTTTCTGTCAACATCCACCAGAATGTCGGCAAGAAACGGGACTTCGCGCATGTCTTCCACAGCGAAAAGACCCGCTCTCACTCCGTCATCCAGGTCATGAGCGTCATAGGCAATGTCGTCCGCGATTGCGGCCGCCTGAGCCTCGCCGCCCGGCCAGGTGTCCAGCAAGAGATCCTGCTTGTCTGCATATTCGCTGATCGCAAACGGCAGTCGGCCGCCCTTGAATTTTCCGATCGGGTTGCCGTCTGAATCAAGAAGAGGCCCATTGTGTTTGACAAGTCCCTCCAGAGTTTCCCAGGCCAGGTTCAATCCGTCGAATTCCGCGTAGCGTTGTTCGAGATGCGTGACAACGCGCAGGGACTGGGCATTGTGATCAAAACCATCAAAGGGCGCCATGCACTCGTGCATGACATCCTCGCCTTCATGTCCAAACGGGGTGTGACCGAGATCATGCGCAAGCGCCAAGCACTCTGCGAGGTCTTCGTCAAGGCGCAGCGCTCTTGCCAGCGACCGGGCGATCTGGGAGACCTCGATCGTGTGCGTCAGACGGGTACGGAAATGATCGCCCTCGTGATATACAAAGACCTGTGTCTTGTGCTTCAATCTTCTGAAGGCCGAGGAATGAATGATCCGGTCGCGGTCCCGTTGAAAGGGTGTCCGGGTCGGACTTTCGGTTTCCGGAAACAGGCGCCCTTTGCTCAGGCGCGGATTTTCGGCGTACACCGCCCGGGTCTGAGCTCCAAAGCCAATGTCAGTTTTAGTTGTCGATCCGTCGCCATTCACAGCATCTTCACCCCGTCTAACCGCGCCGCAGATTGACGCGGGCGACTTCAAAACTTACTTATCTGAATAAATCAGGTTTCACGCTCTTTGCCAGCAGCAAGAGCCTAGCGAGTCAGCAGAACATGACCGATACACCAGAAAATCGAGTAACAGTCAGCGAACGCGCTGCCAAGCGCATTGCCAAAATATTGTCGAACGAGGCCGAAGGCAGCATGCTCCGGGTCAGTGTCGAAGGTGGCGGCTGCTCCGGGCTTCAATACAAATACGACGTCGTCGACAGTAACGAAGACGACGATTTTGTCATTGAAAATCCAGGAGCGATCGTTCTGATCGATACGGTATCGCTTCAGTATATGGAAGGATCGGAGATTGACTTCGTCGACGATCTGATCGGACAGTCTTTTCAGATAAACAACCCCAACGCGGTCGCCGGATGTGGCTGCGGCACCAGTTTTACCATTTGACCTGAGCGCACACGAGTTTCAAGGCCGGAGTCTCCGGCCTTTTTCTTACATGAGGCAAATCGAACGATGAGAATCGCGACCTGGAACATCAACGGCGTCAAGGCACGTATCGATACGGTTCTCGAGGGGTTGAAGGAAACGTCGCCGGATGTTGCCTGTCTTCAGGAAATCAAATCGGTCGACGAGAATTTTCCGCGACAGCCCTTCGAGGATCTCGGCTACAACGTCGAAACCCCCGGTCAAAAGGGTTTCAACGGGGTCGCGCTGTTATCCAAGCAACCGCTCGAGGACGTCGAACGCAGGCTTCCCGGCGACGATGGTGACGAGCAGGCGCGTTTCATCGAAGGAGCCGTTTCGAGCGACAAAGGTGTCATTCGCTTTGGATGTCTCTATCTTCCGAATGGCAATCCGCTCGGAAGTGAAAAATTTCCCTACAAGCTGGCCTGGATGGATCGTCTGATCCCGCATGCCGAAAGGCGGCTTCGCGAAGAAAACGCCTATTTGCTCCTTGGCGATTACAATGTAATTCCGGATCCGATTGACGCAAAAAACGCGAAAAACTGGCTGGACGACGCGCTCTTTCAACCAGAGAGCAGACAACGTTTCAGGGCGCTGACGAATCTCGGTTTCACAGAAGCCGTGAGAGCGTGTACCGAAGCAGCGGAGACATATACTTTCTGGGACTATCAGGCTGGTGCCTGGCAGAAAAACAATGGCATCCGCATTGATCACATCCTGCTGTCACCGCAAGCCACGGATCTGATATCCGGATGCGGCATAGACAAGCATGTTCGCGGGTGGGAAAAGCCGTCCGACCATGTGCCGGTCTGGGTCGAGCTGGCAGCTTGAGCCCGGAAACTGCGCACGATTGCATCTCGTCGATTTTCGTCCCCGGAAACTCGTATACAACGACGCGGACCCGCGTCCCACTTGCGGTAAACCTTCTGCATGATATTGTTTGAGAGCATGGGATAACGGTTGGCCATCTCCTGTCCGCACCGGCAAATAGCGGACAAAAACACTATCCGGCGTCGCTCGTTGAGGCCGGAGCTTCTTATTTTTGCTGTTTTGTCAGAGTCTTAGCAGCAACGGCGTTTTTAAGCGGAGTATGTCTCGCTTCTGTTGCCAGTGCCCAAAGCATCTCGTGCACCTGTCGATACCAGGGTGAGGATTACGGTCTGGGCGAATCCAATTGCCTGAAAAGCCCGAATGGTTCGAAAATGGCGACATGCGCCATGGTGCTCAACAACACGTCCTGGCAACTCAGCAACGCCCCCTGCCCGCTGTCGCAGCTAAATCCGGCTTCCGTAGAGCAGGTCGAAAATGCGACACCCCTGCCAGCCGGCGACAAAACAAAGCCAATGCCAGTCAGCCCAGGATAGGCCCAAGCCTTCATTTGGGGTTGTCGTTCTGTCTGTTCTATTGAAAAACGAAAACTCTACTGTGTCTTGAGTTTCTGCGCGGTAAGCATGTCAGGCCGGTTCTGTTCGATCCAGCCGTCGGCAAGCGAGCGGGCTCTCTCACGTACATGTTCTGGTGACACAGCAAAATATTGCTCATGCATGGTGTGGATCCAGTCGGCTTCCGAGCCCACAGCCTGTTCCCTGGCCACCGTCAACCACATCAGTCCACGCGCTTTCTTCTTTTCCGAAGACCCTATGTTGTAAAGAGTTTCACCGAGCCGTGCTTGTGCCCCGACATGCCCCTTGAGCGCCGCCAGATTGTACCAGCGCACGGCCATACGGCTGTTGTTGTCCTGATACATCTGACCCAGTTCATATTGCGCTTCCGCATCACCGAAGTAAGACGCGGCATGTGTGAAAATCTGACGCGCACGCGCTTCGTTTTTCGGAACAGTTCCGTCGATTCCATTGAGATAATACGTGCCGAGAGCAACAAGTGCACTTGAAACAAAGGGGGCATCAGGTGCGCTCGGGCTGTCGTCGCCATGCTCGCGGACAATCTGGCTGTAGTATTCGAACGCCCTCAGGTCGTCTTCCTGGACACCGTCGCCCTTGGAGTACATTTCTCCAAGTTTCCACGCCGCCATGGGCTGTCCGTTTTCAGCGGCATATTGCAAGGAATTAAGCGCTTCGACCTTGTTGCCCGAATAATACTGGCGAGCGCCCTCACGCAATGCTTCGGTAGGAGACAGATCCTGCGGTCCAATCGAAACGTTCGGTGCTGGCTGTCCGTCAAAGGCGGCGGCCGGTCCGGCGAGACCCAGAAACAGCAGAGAAGAGAACATGACTGTCCGCATTCCCGAGCCACCCAGTCTCGAAACCTTCTTTCGCATACCTGTCACACAATTACGCACAGTACGATATTCACCGCTGTGCCGTTGGTCGTTGACGGCATTTATTGTTGTTCGCGCCTCGCGCATTTCGTGTCTCTTCATACCGTCGGCCACGACCTGACGGTTCTTTTTTTCACGGTCTAACGTGGCCAATCAATTCGGCCTAAGTTGGGCCATTCTTGGTCCAATTAAGACCATTTGCGGGATTCTTCCTCTCGTGGCCGCTCGGCGATCAATGCATACATCAATCGCTGGACAACCGGACTTTAGCGTAACGGTTGCTGCTCAAACATGGCTGAACATGGGCAATATCTTCATTCAGCCCTTTCAAACGGGACTCTGTCTGCGAGTGTTGCCGAATTGGCACAATTCTCACACTGCCAGGGCATCCCTCCGCAGTAAATTCAACCACATCGAAGTTGATGATCAGTTTCCGGGTTGGAAGGTTCATCTGGTCTGTTGAAAACGTTGCCTTTATGGCAAAATCCTTTGCCGTTCTGCATTTGTCCTTCAAACTTGGTTATGATTCGGTGTAGGTACCAGCGCTGAACCTCTACAACAGAGCTACGAACCCATTCAGGCGAGACGGAATGAGCGCAAAAGACGATCTATTTGCTGGAAATGCGGC